GCGCGGCTGAGAGGGGGGAGCAGAGCAGCTGTGCTGCCCACAGTCAGGCAGCATTGCTCACAGTCAGGCAGCCAGCGCAGCTGAGAGGGGGGAGCAGAGCAGCTGTGCTGCTCACAGTCAGGCAGCATTGCTCACAGTCAGGCAGCATTGCTCACAGTCAGGCAGCATTGCTCACAGTCAGGCAGCATTGCTCACAGTCAGGCAGCCAGCGCGGCTGAGAGGGGGGAGCAGAGCAGCTGTGCTGCCCACAGTCAGGCAGCATTGCTCACAGTCAGGCAGCCAGCGCAGCTGAGAGGGGGGAGCCGGGGAGGAGACAATGAGAGGGACGGACACAATAAGGAGTCTAGCTTTTGTCTGAGAGCCACATTTGACTGATACGGACTTAAATTTGAAAATATAGCTCTGGCTACTGTACAGAGAAGGGGGACAAGAGAAGAAGCAGAAAGGTCCATTAGGAAACCATCGCATACAAGAGCCCAGCAACAGATGGGTGACTTGAGCCAGGATGGGAGGTATGAAGATCATGAGATGTGATCAGATAGGAATACACTGTCTAACTTACTCAATAGGATTTAGAGATGGGCAGTAAGAACAAATTCAAGTGCTACCCCAGTGTCTAATCTGAGCAAATGGAGAATGACAATGTCCTGGGGCAGGTGTCACATGAGGGTAAAGGTAAATGGGGGAGGGGACATTCTGTCTGAGACATCTCTTGGACTTCCAAGTGGAAAAGCTGGTTAAATAAGTAAACCCAGAATTCTGGGAGAGATCTGAGTTATGCAAATTTACTAGAGGAATATAAAAGGTAACTAGTCAGAAATTAGATGAGATCACTTGAGACAAAGGTCTCTCCATTATAGCATTTTAAGAAGGTATAAGTAAAAATTCTGAAGAAGTCTTCTGAAGTAGAATGACTGCCAAACACATCAAGCTGTTCAGTCCTCCAAATACCCACACCCTTACAGAGTCACTGCAGCTTCTCTCGGCAAGGGGTTGGGACCTGGTCTTGTGACTCCCAAGGGCCAAAAGAATAAAGTAGAAGTGATTGTGGTCAGGTCCAAGTCTAGGCCGCTAGAGCCACAGTGCACTTTTGCTCATTCTGTTGGAATGAGCACAGCCTGCCCCCCCCCATGAACAAGCCCATGCTAACCCACTGGAAGATGAGAAATCTCACACAACAGAATGTGCCATCTCAGCTGAGACCATCCTAGACCAGAGGCCAGATGACCCAGCAGCTAACTGCAGGTGCAGAGACAGGCAGCTGAAACCCGACCAGACTGCCTACCCATACAATCAAGACTTAACAACTGACTGTGGCTTCACCACTACCTTTTAGTGTAGTCTGTTATGTATGAATATTATTACCTCTCCTCTTCCCCCATTTAAAAGTATAAATGGAAGAGCTAATTCTCAGCTTCAATATACAGTCTTTATAAACCTGAAGTATGAAGGCCAGCAAAGGCAGCACCCACTTCAGACAACTTGTAGTTCCCAGAATAAACCATGTTGTCCTTTATCTTCTAAACACTGGAATGTACTAACTTCACAGTGGATAGGCTGAAAAACACTAACTCAGCGATCCAGTGATCGTGGTCGACATCAACAGGGATACATCACATGGACAGTAGGTACCACTGACATAATGTCATAAAATGCCATTTTATTTCTGTGGTTTGCCTTCCAAAAACCAAAATCTGAGTTTTGCCATGAGGAAAACACCAGACAAATTCTAATAGAATAGAGAATACCTGGCCAGTACACCTGAAAACTCTCAGGGTTACCAAAAACAAGGAAAGTCTAAAAAACTGTCCCAGCCAAAAAGAGCCTAAGAAGACATGACTGCTAAATGTAGCACGGCAGGTACACTGGTGGGATCCTGAGAAAAAGAGGACACTAGGTAAGAACTACAGAAATCTCCATAAACTCCTCAGTAACAGTATCAGTACTGATTACGTAATTGTAACAAATGGACTACGCTAGAGTAAGATGCTAGTAATAAAGGAAACGGGGTCCCGGGTATACGGAACTCCATGTGCTATCTTCCCCGTTTGGTCCCGGGTATATGGAACTCCACGTGCTATCTT